ATCAGCAGCAGGGGTGGGCTGAGTGCATGCTACATCCCAGAGCTTGGACCCATTCTTTACAATCCTCACAGGTAGGCGTTGTCAACCCATTGCACCGATGGAGAATCTGACTCTTAAAGAGGTTACATAGCAGTGTGCCTACACTGAGATAGCCAGGAAGTGGCAGAGCCAGGATTTGTAGCCACATATAACTGAAATGCCTGTGCACTCATTGCTTATTTCTGCCCAACTACTAGGGATTGGATACTTGTGATATCGCCTTAGATCATTCGCATACAAATATACATACTAGTGTTAAAGATAAGGGTCTCCTTGAGATTAAAAAAGCCAAAACACCACTCCCCAAATGTTTGAGGTTATCTGGCTTTGTTTATACATGTTCTCTGCATCTTCTCCTAAAAATGCCCCAACTCCATTGTCGCCTTGTCAGTTGCGTGCATAGCAGATCTGGATAAAAAGCACTCATGGCTTGGAGAAGGGGTAACAGAATGGCTTCAAGCCTAGAGGAAACTGGCTCTTACTAGATGTCCATCCTGGCTCTTGTTCACACGGGGATCATTAAAAAGCATATCCCCCTTCTCATACACAGGATGTTACCTACAAGACCCATTAGTGCTAATGGGTCATTTTCTTTCTAGCACCCCAAGGATCAAAAGGAGAAGCTGCATCTTTGATGAAGTGCTAATGCTGCACAGGTCTCAGGCCACTTAAAGGTTTTCTTTGTTCTCTTCACATGGCAACCCAACCAGGGACATTAGACCAGTACCTGCTGTATGAAGAGTTTATACAGACAGTATTAAGTGGTGGTGCCAAGTGCAGCTTCAGTAATGAAAATGAGAATGATGCCCCTACTTACAACGCCAGACTCATCCACCTTAGTATGTTTGAGGCTTGTACCCTGCACAGCCTGAATCAATATTTCCTGCTCTTTAATAACACAAGGGAAAGCTTACTACTTTCCTTTAATAAGCTTTAAAAAGTTGTTCAGCAACTAAGTTTGCTAATAGGAAAAAAAAATAGGATTGTGGCAAGAAGTAGGGAAAGGAAGCAAATGCATTTTAGAATTAGCTCTCTCCCCATCTGTTGCCTTACCTTTCTTTCTTTCTTTCTTTCTTTCTTTCTTTCTTTCTTTCTTTCTTTCTTTCTTTCTTTCTTTCTTTCTTNTTTCTTTTCTTTTCTTTTCTTTTCTTTTCTTTTCTTTTCTTTTCTTTTCTTTTCTTTTCTTTTCTTTTCTTTTCTTTTCTTTTCTTTTCTTTTCTTTTCTTTTCTTTTCTTTTCTTTTCTTTTCTTTTCTTTTCTTTTCTTTTCTTTTCTTTTCTTTTCTTTTCTTTTCTTTTCTTTTCTTTTCTTTTCTTTTCTTTTCTTTTCTTTTCTTTTCTTTTCTTTTCTTTTCTTTTCTTTTCTTTTCTTTTCTTTTCTTTTCTTTTCTTTTCTTTTCTTTTCTTTTCTTTTCTTTTCTTTTCTTTTCTTTTCTTTTCTTTTCTTTTCTTTTCTTTTCTTTTCTTTTCTTTTCTTTTCTTTTCTTTTCTTTTCTTTTCTTTTCTTTTCTTTTCTTTTCTTTTCTTTTCTTTTCTTTTCTTTTCTTTTCTTTTCTTTTCTTTTCTTTTCTTTTCTTTTCTTTTCTTTTCTTTTCTTTTCTTTTCTTTTCTTTTCTTTTCTTTTCTTTTCTTTTCTTTTCTTTTCTTTTCTTTTCTTTTCTTTTCTTTTCTTTTCTTTTCTTTTCTTTTCTTTTCTTTTCTTTTCTTTTCTTTTCTTTTCTTTTCTTTTCTTTTCTTTTCTTTTCTTTTCTTTTCTTTTCTTTTCTTTTCTTTTCTTTTCTTTTCTTTTCTTTTCTTTTCTTTTCTTTTCTTTTCTTTTCTTTTCTTTTCTTTTCTTTTCTTTTCTTTTCTTTTCTTTTCTTTTCTTTTCTTTTCTTTTCTTTTCTTTTCTTTTCTTTTCTTTTCTTTTCTTTTCTTTTCTTTTCTTTTCTTTTCTTTTCTTTTCTTTTCTTTTCTTTTCTTTTCTTTTCTTTTCTTTTCTTTTCTTTTCTTTTCTTTTCTTTTCTTTTCTTTTCTTTTCTTTTCTTTTCTTTTCTTTTCTTTTCTTTTCTTTTCTTTTCTTTTCTTTTCTTTTCTTTTCTTTTCTTTTCTTTTCTTTTCTTTTCTTTTCTTTTCTTTTCTTTTCTTTTCTTTTCTTTTCTTTTCTTTTCTTTTCTTTTCTTTTCTTTTCTTTTCTTTTCTTTTCTTTTCTACTGGGACCTCAATCCATCAGGTGGCTGACGGTATTATTGAGAGCTCACTGTACGTGTAGCCCAGGTCCAGGCACTGTGGGAGAATGTAAAACAAAGACACAGTCTATCTTCCTAGAGGTGATAATCACAAAGAACAAAATTGGTTATCAAATATAGAGTGCCCCCTACCTAACTTTCAGTCCTGAGTTTTATATCTGAAGCAGTGCCAAGAATTCTTTATTTATCACCCACTGTTCTCTGTTACTACATTTATTAGGTCTGGAGGAGAGCTGAAATCTCCTAACACATTTGGTTTAATAAATGAATATAGGGAGCATTTTCTTGCATTGACATTTGACATGTAAAAGGATAAATCTCAGCCCACAATCTCAGATGTGCAAGAAATCTACCTTTATTTTTCTATTACTCACCCTGAGCTCTGATTTGTTGAGTTAGTGAAAATACAATCTCAGACAGTTTTAGTTTTCTCATTTCTCTGGGATTGTGTCTACATTAATTGCGGTGGGAGGCTTCCCAGGGTACCAATTTTTGGGGAGGTAAAGGGAGATTACACAGGAGCTGATCTTGGATAGTCTGTATTCATAGCTCAGGTGCCCATTGAATTGCTACCCAGCACCTTCATTCTTGTGTGCATAACCCTTCAGGTCCGTCATTTTCGCCTTATTTTTGTGCCGCTTGGGGAATTGTTCAGTTGTTCCCACACCACAGTGGAATATAGGAAGTTCTGTGAGTCTGTGTAAGCTCTCAGCTTGTCTAAATTTACCAGGCAGCCATTTCTGCTCAAGGATCTCACTGTTGCCTCTGGGCTGTCTTGGGGAAATGCACACAGATCAACATTACCCAGTAAGCTTACCTGTGATTTTGACACCACCCCATGGCTCACCCTCAAATCACACTATGTCTTCTTTTTGGCATTCACCAATGACTGTATTCACATGTCTTCTCCTCCAACTCTCTCTCAAGGTTGCCCACAGGAGAGGCAGGAAAGCTCTGCTCTTATGTAATTGCCTGTATATTCTATCTGTTTCACTCTTCTAACGTCTTGGCTTTTAAGACTCAAATACAGAAGGTTAATTTATATCTTTAGTTTATGATTCATTTCTCTTCTCTGAGGCAATGAAAACACAATGGCTTGAAATTTAAGAGAGAGAAAAGTCTAAAGAGAGAAAGGAAATATGGAGAAAAAATCAAATATTTCAATAAAATAGTATTCCATTCCAGACCAAGGACATACTATCTTTTAATATTAGAAGTTAATAGTCAATAGATGTTTTATATTCTCTAAGAGGTGGAGGAAGACATCCAGTACCTTCAGTACACATTATGCAGGACTAATGATATTCTAGTGTAATATTTAGAGTCTTAGTTAATGTGTCAGGGACCTAAGTTCTCAGTTTTTATGGCTAAATGACTTTCGGCGAGCTCACTGTACTCATCAATGTAATTCAAGAGTGTTATACGTGTGGATTGATTTTACCCTACCTACAAGCTAATAGGTTAGCTTATTACTGTTTCCTGGATGCTGGCAGAATCTATAAGATTTCTGGGTCAGAGACCAAGGACTTGATTACTCATGACTAAACAAACAGCACAGGATCAGCATGGGTATCAGTTCTCCTTGCCCCCGATTCCCATGAAGACAACACAAAGGGGTCCAGGTAAACATTCGGAGGGTAAGGGGTTTGTGTTAAAATGGGGAAAAGGTATCAAGTGGCATGGAAGTTAGACGGAATGGTTAATGTGAGAGAAAATTCAAATGATAAAGGTCAGAGAAGTCACTAAACAGAGTATGCTTATCAGAACTTATAGACAGGGGTAGTGTACTATGAAATTTTGGGGTCACCCTCCTTATGTTCTGCATTGATTAAGTGCTTAAAGGACTAGAGTTCATTAATTGCATCTACTCAGTGTCATTTCGATATGGTGAATAGTCTGTGATAAGAAAGGGAACAAAATCAAACACAGGTTGCATTTTATTTTTTACAGCAGTGGCCCATAAACCTAGAGGCATGAAGATGACAAAGTAGAGCCAAGGGCTGCATTAGAGACTGAAATAAAATTGGAAAAAAATTATTGATAACTTGTTAACAGATCCCAGAGCAGCATAAAGAATTCAAAGTGGTATAACTTAAGCTAAAAAAATACCTGAGAAGGGATTCAACATTCAGGTATATCCAGACTATTGTGGGGGTGAGTTAATGAATGAGATAGATGCAGGTTAGGATAACTGGCCTAAGCATAGTAGAAAAAGTAGTTTTAGGCCCTAGAGATAATTTGTGGTACTTCTGATTAACTGAAAAACCCATGTTTCTCTAAGCAGAAGGTAGATTTGCTAATAACCCCTATTGACTACTACGTATTTTCACTATGATGGATACTTCCTATATTTTTCTCATTTAATCCTCACACCCTATGGGATAGGTTGTATTATTCCCATTTTAGAAATGAGGCTACTAATTGATCGGAGAAACAAAACAAAAACAAACAAACAAAAAAACATTGTGAAAGCCACAGAGTTGGAAATAACGGGTCTCAGATTTCAGTGTAGGACTCTGCAGCCACATGGCCCATGTTCCTTCCACTTGACCGCACTGTATGGAACTCACTTCATTCTTTTGGTTTGTGCTTTTAGGAAAGTAACTAGTTTTAAAATTACTTTTTTCATTAATCTAATGAAGAGTAAACCTGCCTATGTTTTTTCCTGTCCTACTGTATGTTTAAAGTGAAGGACAAGTTACTTTTTGTGACCAAAACTTTGATCTTCCCACAGGTGACTTGTATATAGGAGGCGTGGCGAAAGAAACCTACAAATCCTTGCCCAAACTCGTCCACGCCAAGGAGGGCTTTCAGGGCTGCCTGGCATCAGTGGATCTAAACGGACGGCTTCCGGACCTCATCTCAGATGCCCTTTTCTGCAATGGACAGATTGAGAGAGGATGTGAAGGTACTAGATTTCGGCATCACACTCTAATAATTCCAATTCCGCTGGTAAATAAATGAGAACAAATCTCTCTAGCCAGCAAAATTTAGTTCTGCCAACTGGTCAACCCCCAACTTCAGGCTTAGAAATTCTTCCTCATGCTTTTAACTTTTCATTTCATAAATCTTAAATTTTCTGGACTGTTTGCAAGCCTACACTCATGCCTGATGTCAAACGGGAGCTATATGCATGGTTCTTGTTATTTTCTGCTTCTTTGCATCCTACAGTTTACATAATTAGTGTGTTAAATCAGTTCTGCAATGCTCGCTTTAAGCATTAAATAGACACCCCATTTAGACTAGAAAAATATATTTATTCCAGCAAATGTTAATCAATTTGAGCCTGTTTTTTGAAGTATACATTTAATGGGATATAGCAAGAGTCTAAAGTTTAGATACCATTTTAAAATTCTGATTTGGTTTTTATCTACCCAGCAGCATGAGTGTCTCCTGGATATATATTATCAGTTTGTTTTAGCAAAAATTGGTTCCTTCTATTCTTCAAGGCTAATATCCCATCCTTCAGAAATGTGCTCAAGTATCTCCCTGTTCTTTTGTGCCTCCTTTCAGACTAACATCTGTAGGAGTACTTTTTGATTGCTGCTTCCATTTTAGATAATTTTCACTTCAACACCTCAGATTATCTGAGCCAATTCTCCCTCCATAAATGTAATTTAATCACATTACCCTGAATTTTGTGGCTCTGAATGTGTTGCTGCTTCTCCGTTAATGTTGAACACAGTTTGGGCCATTTTGAAAACTTTAGATTCATAAGGAAATTTTACACGGGAGAAGCAAAGACAGACATGTGAATTCCTATCCCCCAGGAGATTACACATCATTTCCTCGCAGCCAAAATAATGCCATTAGATTGAGCAATTACCTAAGTACAGGGAAAATTTTTTTTTATTTGAAAATATACTTTTTCTCTCTGCAACAGATATTTATTTCCTTGAAAAGTCAGGTGAAATGCAAACTGTACTTTAAACCTGCCAGAGGATAAGGCTGTTTAATGGACATCTCTGTCAAATTCATTTTTAATGTCATAGCCCCATTTGTTTCCTTTATTTCAAGTTTTGGTGTAACACACTTTTGTGAAACAAAAGGAAACTACAGGTTTTCTCCTTTGACCAACTTAAAGGAAACAACATTGTTAAGTGAATAAATTTCTTCTAGTGGGTAGATACAAGAATGTGAAAACAACTTTGATTCTTGGAGGTGATCTAATTTGTGAGAATACACACATTAAAAAAAGTACTACAAACTCTTCTGAAAATATTTTTCGAAAATAGGCCTTTCTACCAGTTGCTTGGTATGTGTCTTGTCATCTATAAAAAATGGTGGGGGCAGACAGAGGAATTCCCAACTAAACACACACAAAATAGAAAACCATAAACACACATGTACCCCACCACCGGCACATGATGTGAGTGGATAGGTGGAAGGGAAAACTAATGAGAGAAATATATATTGAGAAAGAGTGTTAGCAGAAATGATATTTGGTGTTATTTTCCAACATAATCTAATGAGCAGTTTGGTTAAGATGATTAGTTTCACACCCTCTTTGAAAACCTTAAAGTTCTATTTAAACATTTGAAATTTTTCAGTAGATTACCTCATTGATTCCTTCCTTACCTTACCGAGGATGCTGTCATATCTGAGTTTTAGGAATTCTCACCCTCTTTTCCCCCCTTTTCCCTGTTTCCTTAGAATGTCACCATGCTCCTGCCCTTCTGCCTTTATGCTTTCCTCAGTTTTTAACTCCAATATCAGTATTAACAACTTTTAATTTATGATTATTTCTATCATGTATGGTTTATAGGAACGATCTCATGTGTGCCTGTCCTAGGTGTAATTATGACATACATATGCTTTTAGGATTCTTGGTCATATTCTAAACACTCGATAAATTATCTCTCTAAATATTATTGTCATGAGAATTTTGAGTCCAAATCACATTAGAATCACTTAACTTTCATATTCATAGAAATAGTATAAACTTGACATAACCAAATATCTTGCACATATTTTCCATAATTCCTACCCCAAAAGACCTACAAATCTCTAAGCCTTTTCATGTAAGAGGTTCTTGGACTTCCTAAATATTCACTTGCTGCTTTTCATCTCTAACTAAATTTGGTTGGTAATAGCTCGTTTTGTTTATACAACACATTAGCTAGGGGAAGGAGCTTGCACATCCCTTTAGAATGTTTCTCAACCTTTAGCCAGTGTCAGAAATGCTGGTATAATTGTTAAAACCCAATTATGAGACACCACCCCAGGTTTCTGATTCAATAGATCTAGGGTGGGGCCCTAGAATTTACATTTATAACAAGCTCCTAAATGAATCTGATGCTGTTGGTCTGAGGACCACTTTTGAAAAAACTGCTTGAGATGGCATTTTCCTGCTTATATAAGAGAAAAGGGAGACTGGTAACCCACCAGTAATCAACCTCAGTTCAGCTCAGGCAAATTAATTTCCCTATGTGAAGCCAGTGAAATACTTTTATTTATTCAAACACTCTTTGCACAGACTCCTAACATTCAGCCCCAAACTACATTTTAAATGACAGAAATACTTAATTATCAAAGCTACAACTGATTAAGCACTGGTGACATTAGGTCTACATATGCTATTTTAATTATTTCTCAAAACTCTATAAATTAGGTATCACAGACTTTTTCATAGATAAGTAGGTTGAGCCTCAGAGACGTGAGGTGACCTTCCTGAGATCACACAATTAGTAAGTGGACGATGGCAGCTTCAAACCCGAGTCTGCCTTACTTGAAAGCCCAGGCATCTCACCACTTTTAGGACTTGTTTCTTTGGCTTCCAGAGATAGTAGTTTTACCTTCACTTTCCTTTCCTTTCCAGACATATCCTTATTTTTTAACCACTTACTACAGTTGTCCTTGTGGCTTGTTTCTAATTTTGTTCTGTGATAAAAAAAAAAAAAAAAAAAAAAAA